CTTTTTAACGTTATTTTATCATAAATAATTAAAAATGCATCGTACCTTAAAAATCGAAATATCTCAAAAACGGCTAACTATAACGAAAATTCACAAGAGAGCTTTTTTATGTTGAAAAGTGCGAAGAATCAGTTTTTTTATTCAAAAAGCAAAAAATTGCACTAAGAAAAATTTTTCGGTCATTCTAATACACTACAGGTACAGTAGAGAGCGCCCTCTAGCGGCTACAGTAAAACTATGCCCATGGTTCGCTTTGTCCTGCCAAAAAACCATTGTATACCAATTTTCACTGTTATACATCAAATATTGTTCGAAATATTTAAAAAAAACTATTTTAAAAACTAAATTTAAACACCCTGTATTTCGGAAGCCACGCATTTTTCGACCCATGTTTATATAGACTTTATGCATTAATTTTAAAAGTTCTATCGCATCTTAAAGTTATGCAACAATAAACTGAAACACCCTGTACAATAAATTTCATTAAAATATCTTCTGTGGTGTTACAGATATTAATAAACTTTACGATTTCAAAATTTACGTACGTTTATAAGAAATGTTCTTAAAATGGACCCAAAAATCGCCCCCTTAAATATTGTTATTCAATTATGAAACGCCCTGTATATGCCTATACGATGTACGGCGGTTCAAATTTGTTCAATGTCCTGATTTTCGAAAATTTAGTATTTTGTTCTTGGACTGTTCCGAGTTTACTTTCATTTTACGTCAATAATATTATCAGTAATTCCAGAATGACCCATTTGCTCGTTTAAAAATGCTACTTGAGAATCTAAACAACTAGTTTCTTGCGTATACGATAATTGCGTTGGGAGCTTGAAACGTTTCAATAATATATGGAATATATCCTCGAACGAGATCAATACTTTCATTAAAATACGATTAAATTGTGGAAAAAATTGTAGAATGTGGTATATTTATATGAGCCTTTCGAGAAACATCAGGCGACTTGAACCATTCATATTTTAAACGATGTTTGTTAATTTGTTCAAATAACTGTCAATAGACTAGTGACATACGAATGACGTTTCTTTGTTTACTGTTTGTAGATACATCATGATCGATAGTGTCTTCACCGGTTCATACTGAAAGTAAAAAACACTAATAATACTTTTTTCAAATTAGACTTAATATATATACAGGGTGACTTTGAAGTTGAGTCATTAATTTTCAGATAATGATTGTAGAAGGAAGATAAACCAAAATATGTGTGTAAAAATAAAAAAAAAAATTAAAAAAAACTTTTTACCTTGTTTTATAAAGTATCCTCTCGACAAGTATTTCAGTGCTGACCTGTATTTGATCGTGAGGTCTTGGAGCACCGGCATGCCGTCCCCTGTGAGGTCTTAAGTCACCTGATTCACGAGCCCGTTGTACTACATTAACAAAGGCACGAGGGGTTGGTTGCACTCGATTGGGAAACCGATCCGCATAAACATGTGCCATTTTTTATTTCGTTTGAGCCACGCAACAGACACTATTCACACGCGTTACCGACTGACACTGACTGTATGTATAACTGAACTGAATAAAATAATTGTAAAAACATCGTTCCAAATTCTTTCGCTTTTTTGTTTCCGATGCGATGAACCGATAAGGCGGATTATATCCGTTGTTGCCAAACACGAGCACATAATATTATTATTGAGACAGGGCGGTACTCAAACTTCCAAAGGGCTATAACTTTGTTACTTTAATTTTACCAGAAAAATGGTAAAGGAAAAAACATTTCTTTTGATCAGATATACTCACTGTTAAAATAAATGACTCAACTTAGAAGTCACCCTGTATATATACAGAGATTTTGAGTCATCTAGGATATTCTTTGTTTTGATGTTCAATGACAATGTACGGATTACGTCATATCCTGATATCCTTTCCAAAATAAATTCCACACAAGTGAGAGTGCAAAGTGTACGTGTACCGATGCAGTTAGCGTTTCGTATTCTACGTAAAATTTTAATTATTTGAGCGAGTTTATCAGTATACAATATAAAATGGATGGAAAAACACCAATTAGAAAAAACATTTTCAAGGTGACCCCGCTGTATTAAAAAAGTGTCGAGATTATACCGCGTCGTTGAATTTGAATGCACGATGTTACAGAGTAGCGAAAATGTACGATTTGAATATACACTAAAAATAGAAATCATCGCGCATATCTTTACTAAGAAGTTATAATGCTTATAGCCCTGCGTCACGTATACCATATAGGATGATACGATTACTACTTATATTTCCAATAATTAGTAAATTACACCCAATATACGACTACATACCCTTACGTTGGTGCATTTTGAAGACAAGTCGATTTGTTCTCCCGATCTATCACCCATTGAACGCGTCTGGAACATAATGGAAAGAATATTAGTCCATTTACATGCCACTTTGATTCTTCTGATACTCGAAATATTCAGACTGGTATCTCTTATATAAATGATGACTTGAAACTTGTTTCAAAATGGCTGGCATCTCACAAACTCAAATTAAATACAAGTAAAATAAAAGTTAGTTTAATTGCAAAAAACAATATACAAATGTTCAACTAAATGTTGATCGTGAAGATATTATCAGTTGAGATGGGCGTTGGCCCAAAGTCCAAAGTTCTTCTGTGGTATATTTTAATCAGCCATTAAATTCCTAAGTACTAAGGGAAAACAAGTGCAGTTACAAAAATTATTACCGGGTTAGAATCAAGATAAGCTCGCGAGTGTGTCTTGAGCAACAGAGAAAATGGCAACATCACACGAAACCAGACCTTTCCAACGACGTTATTGATCGCTGAAAAAGGTGAACAAAAGGTTAAATATAAAAGAGAGAGCTCCATATTTACGTATATACGAAATGTACAGGGTGAAACCGATAATATATTCAGCGTTCTGCGAATGAAAAAAATGAATCGAATGCTTCTTCGGTTTGGATTGTTTTTGGCATGGTAGCTTCTCTAACGTATAGATAATTTTATAAAATGGTGGGCGGTTTAGAAATGGGATACGCATATGATACTCTCAATATGGTAAAGCTATCATCACGAACCATATAATGTGACTTATGATTAACAATAAAGTGCTAGAACTACATTCCTTGAGAGGTAATGTCAGAATAAAGATGAATGATGAAAATAACGATAGATTAGTACATAAATTCAAGACAAATTTCAGTTTATGTGCTTATACATTGTTAGAAACCATAAATGCTCCGTTTATATTAAACACCTACGATATACCATTCGAAAAGCTCAATTAACATTATTAGTGCTTAGTTATATAATGAATGACGTGGAAGTGTATGGTCTTTGAAAATGCCTAATTCTTTTTGTTCGAACGACAATATGCAACAAAAATCGACACAATACAAAGTGCACAGGTAAACTAGTCGCTTTCTCCTTACGGAATAATTGAGTTTTGAAGTAAAACGAATTTGGCGTATGAAATATCCGTGCACTGTTAAAGGTTAAAATCCATAGAGGCGTATAAACAGAGTGTTTGAAAACGTATAAAAAATAAGATTCCATTATATTTGTTGCGAAACCTTCCAATGTATATAAAAATGTAAACTTTAACATTTAACATTAATTGGTGTGCTAGCAAGTATTGAGGATTTAAATGTTACCATTTTTATAAGTGATTTATGATTTTGCCTATTGCTTTCGAATTAATTTTTAATACATGAATTGGTGAGGTAAATCAAGGTATCTACGAAACAGAATTTCATTAACATGCTTCCATAACCTTGTATTTAACCTAACATTTCAACCCAATTTTCATCAAATTCAGGAAGTCTGATTAACATGAAAATTTGCACAGGGGTCAGTAGCCGATGACAATAGAGCAATCTTGAAAAAAAAAATTGAAATTTGGATTTCAATGTTTGGAAAAGAATAAGCTCGAAAAAAAATTGAAATTTCAAAATTTGAAAAAATCGAAAAAATTTTATTATTTTATTTTTATTAGATTTATAGTGAAATATACCAAAAGTCGAGGCTCTTAATTATAAGTACTTTTGTTGTCTTGTAGAGACCAAAAATTCAGAAAAAAATAGTTAAAAAATGAAAAAGCTTTAGTATAAAATCGAACTAAAAAGTAAAAAGTAATTTTCAAGTATAGTAGACCTTGTGTTACTGTAATAGAAAGTCCAACAATCAAGTATGACTAATCAAATTTGATTAAGATTAATATAAAACTTAAGATATTAACAAAAAAAGTCAATTATAGTAACAAAGCGTGGTATACAATTAACAATATTTCCATACTAACTCCAATTTTCTATATAACAAAAAAATCTTATATTTAATATCACGATCCCCAGGTTTTTCTACTACAATTGAATTTTTTGTTAATATCTTAATTTTCATGTTGGTCGTATTGGTTATAAAAAATTAACAACGTATTTGCTTAATATATTCAATCTACATGAAAATACGTTAGATTTTTGGCCACGTGTTATTTTTAGACAGCCGCAATGGTGACGTCAGAACTTGAGTGTTCCACGTCATTTGATTGGCGGACAGAGACGTCTCCGCTATTGATTATTCTTTTATAGTCAAAAACCACACACCGACGACACGTAGGCACTTTTATAACATGCAAAATCGGCCGCTCGCGATTCCAGCTACCTAAATAACTGTTTCGCTGCACGCAAACTGTGTACGTTACATCTAAGGGCATAGTAATGTGGAAAAGTCGGAAAATAGCGTGTCGCGTGTAGTGTGCAAACGAAAAATGTTTGCTAAACCATCGATTTATGTAAAATCGCAATAATGGTACATACATACCATCAGGACACTTTAATGTGCGTTTATAGTATTGAACCGTGGTGTGTGCCTACGAGACGGCGTGGTGCAACTAGAAAGCGATTGCAGATACCTTACCATTCCGGTTTGATTCACTTGATCGCCGCCAGATGGGGCATCAAGCCGCGCCCTCCGCCACTCTCATTGCCAGGCAACGTGGATAATTACCTGACGTATTTTTTTGTTTCAGGTTCGTCTCACAGCGACAAAGAGGTGGACCCGATAACTCCGGAGAAGGCGGTGGCGGCGGCGGTAGCAGCGGCTGCGGCGGCCGCGGCGGCTGCGGCAGCGTCAACGCGCACGCCGACGGAGCGGAAGCGGAAACGGAAGGCGGACGATACGGGCGGCGGTGGTGGCGGGGGCGGAGGGGCGAGCAGAGAAGGAGGGGCTGTGGCGGGCGTTACGACGGGGTCGGCCGCAACAGGCGGTGCCGTAACGACGGTGGGCGGAGCACCGCCGCCGTTGCCATTGCCGCCCGTCATCGGCCCGGCATCGGCAGGAGGGCAAACGACGACGGGAGTGTCTGGGGGCGTACAGGGCACGGGAGGAGGTGAGTTTCGTCGTTTATAGATTACAAAATTCATGGTTTCCACGTTTTCTAGAATCTGTATAGTTTCTAAAGAATTTTCCATGGATTCTAAAGATTCTCCAATGATTCTAAAGGTGGTCCGTTACTTCTAAAGATTCTTCTTAAGATTGTCTAGCGATTCTAAAGAATCTCCACCGATTCTAAAGATTATCCGTGAAATACAAATACTCTCAAAGAGATTTTCACCGTATTAAACTTGCAATAGTTCAAAAATTCAACTTTTCATAGCTTCTCTGAAGTTCTTAAAGGATTTTGAGAGATTTTAAGTATCCTGTAAATTTGAGAATTCTTCGAGTAATTTTAATGGGTTTTCGAAAAATTCTACAGATGTTCTAGACACTCTGGAGATTCTTCGAGATACTGAAACATTTTCTTCAATTTTAACACTTCCGGTTATTAAAAAGATTCTCCAAATATTTTAAAGATTGTCTGGCGATTCTAAAGAATCTCCAACGATTCTAACGTTTGTCTTGAGATTTTAAAGATTCTACGACGATTATAAAGATTGCCCGATGATTCTAAAGTTTCATCATATTGAACCACAAGATTCAACATTTCATAGCTTCAACGTTTTCAAAAAAAAAATCCTCTGGGGGTTCTAAGGATTCTCCGAACGATTTTAAACATTCTTCCAGTAATTTTAAAGATTTTTCGAAAAATTCTACAAATTCTCCAAGAAATTCTAAATATTCTCCAAGAGGTTCCAGAGGTTCCTGAGATGCTTAAAGATTCTGAGAAATTCCAAGCTTCCAAAGATTCTGCGAATTGTTGAGGATTCTCAGATATTTTTATGTTTATCAGAGATTCTGACGGTTTTTCTTCATTCAGAATGTTTGAAGATTCTCCGAAATTTGAAAAATTCTCGGATTTCAACGAATTCGAGAGATCCCTGAAACGTGAATGAAAGTTTCGCTTTTTCTTTGTTGACGGTTTTATTTTTATTTTTCAGGTAAAAGCGCTCGGACACAGGTTACGACTGATAAGAAAATCAACGACTACTACAAGCACTCGAACAGTCACAGCCCTATAAGGCACGGGGGCGCGAAGAGCCCCTCGCCTCAACAGCCCTACGCCATGTTACCTCCTTCGCCGCAGCAAGTGCCAGGGTTACCCTCGCCACAAGTCTGCAATACGGTTCCTTTCGATTTTTATAATAAGACGCCGCAGCCACCCACACAGCTGGTGCGATCTAACAAAATAATACAGGTTAGTACAAACATCACCTCGTGCTAGTAAGTAGCTTTCATTAAATAACTTTATCAAAAAAACTAAAAGATCTACTGATAATTCTAAAGATTATATATTCGACAATATCTGAAAATCATAAAGATTCATGACGATTATAAACTTCTTTGATAATTCTTAAGATTTTCTGACGATCCTAAATATTTTCCGACGATTATATTAGTTCTCTGACAATTCTAAAGATTATCTATGTTATAAAAATTAACTGAAAATTCTAAAGATTCATGACGATTCTAAAGCTCTTCAACAATTCTAAAGATTTTCTGACGATTCTGAAGATTTTTTTTGATGATTTTAAATATTATTTACGAATTATAAAATACCTCTGACACTTCTTAAAAGTTCCTGCAAAATTCTAAGTACTATCTGCCAATTCTGAAGATTCTCTGGCGCTTCTAAAGATTCTTCGATGATCTTAATGAGAGCCTGAAGATTCTAAAGATCCTCTGGCAATCCTAACGCTTATTTAAAGATTCTAAACATTCTCCTATGATTCTAATGGTTTTCAAGATTCTCTGACATTCATAAAGATTCTGTTAGGATTCTAAAGATTTTTCGATGGTTTTAAGGATGATCTGACGATCCTAAATATTTTCCGATGATTATATTAGTTCTCTGACAATTCTAAAGATTATCTATGTTATAAAAATTAACTGAAAATTCTAAAGCTTCATGACGATTCTAAAGCTCTTCAACAATTCTAAAGATTTTCTGACGATTCTGAAGATTTTTTTTGATGATTCTAAATATTATCTACGAATTATAAAATACCTCTGATACTTCTTAAAATTTAATGCAAAATTCTAAGTACTATCTGCCAATTCTGAAGATTCTCTGGCGCTTCTAAAGATTCTTCGATGATTTTAAAGAGAGCCTGAAGATTCTAAAGATCCGCTGGCAATCCTAACGCTTATTTAAAGATTCTAAACATTCTCCTATGATTCTAATGGTTTTCAAGATTCTCCGACCATTCCTAAAGATTCTGTTATGATTCTAAAGATTTTTCGATGGTTTTAAGGATGATCTGACGATCCTAAATATTTTCCGATGATTATATTAGTTCTCTGACAATTCTAAAGATTATCTATGTTATAAAAATTAACTGAAAATTCTAAAGCTTCATGACGATTCTAAAGCTCTTCAACAATTCTAAAGATTTTCTGACGATTCTGAAGATTTTTTTTTGATGATTCTAAATATTATCTAAGAATTATAAAATACCTCTGATACTTCTTAAAATTTAATGCAAAATTCTAAGTACTATCTGCCAGTTCTGAAGATTCTCTGGCGCTTCTAAAGATTCTTCGATGATTTTAAAGAGAGCCTGAAGATTCTAAAGATCCTCTGGCAATCCTAACGCTTATTTAAATATTCTAAACATTCTCCTATGATTCTAATGATTTTCAAGATTCTCCGGCATTTATAAAGATTCTGTTATGATTCTAAAGATTTTTCGATGGTTTTAAGGATGATCTGACGATCCTAAATATTTTCCGATGATTATATTAGTTCTCTGACAATTCTAAAGATTATCTATGTTATAAAAATTAACTGAAAATTCTAAAGCTTCATGACGATTCTAAAGCTCTTCAACAATTCTAAAGATTTTCTGACGATTCTGATAATTTTTTTGATAATTCTGAATATTATGTATGGATTCTGAAATACCTTTGACAGTTCTTAAAATTTCCTGCAAACTTCTAAGTACTATCTGCCAATTCTGAAGATTCTCTGGCGCTTCTAAAGATTCTACGATGATTTTAAGGAGAGCCTGAAGATTCTAAAAATCCTCTGGCAATCCTAACGCTTATTTCAAAGATTCTAAACATTCTCCAATGATTCTAATGGATTTCAAGATTCTTTGACATTCATAAACATTCTGTTATGATTCTAAAGATTTTTCGATGGTTTTAAGGATGATCTGACGATCCTAAATATTTTCCGATGATTATATTAGTTCTCTGACAATTCTAAAGATTATCTATGTTATAAAAATTAACTGAAAATTCTAAAGCTTCATGACGATTCTAAAGCTCTTCAACAATTCTAAAGATTTGCTGACGATTCTGAAGATTTTTTTTTGATGATTCTAAATATTATCTACGATTTATAGAATACCTCTAACACTTCTTAAAAGTTCCTGCAAAATTCTAAGTACTATCTGCCAATTCTGAAGAATCTCTGGCACTGCTAAAGATTCTTCGATGATTTTGAAGGGAGCCTGAAGATTCTAAAGATTCTCTGGCAATCCTAACGCTTATTTAAAGATTCTAAACATTCTCCTATGATTCTAATGATTTTCAAGATTCTCCGACATTTATAAAGATTCTGTTATGATTCTAAAGATTTTTCGATGGTTTTAATGATGATCTGAGAATTCTAAAGACTCATGATGATTCTAAAGATTTTCTGACGATTGTGAAGATTTTTTTGATTATCCTAAACATTATCTAAGGATTATAAAATATCTCTGACGCTTCTTACCTGCAAAATTCTAAGTACAATCTAACAATTCTAAAGATTCCCTTGTTCTTATAAAGATTCTCCGATGATTTTAAAGATTGCCTGAAGATTCTAAAGATCCTCTGACAATCCTAACGCTACTTTAAAAGGTTGCAAAGATTCTCCGATGATGCTAATGATTTTCAAGATTCTCCGACATTTCTAAAGATGCTGTTATGATTCTAAAGATTTTTCGATGGTTTCAAGGATGATTTGACGATCCAAAATATTTTCCGACGATTATATAAGTTCTCTGACAATTCGAAAAATCATCTGTCACTTATAGAAATTCTTGGAAAATTATAAAAATTCATGACGATTATAAACTACTTCGAAAATTCTAAAGATTTTTTGACGATTCTAAATATTTTCCTACGATTACATACGTTCTCTGTCAATTCTTAAGATTATCTATCACTTTTAAAAATTCTCTGAACATTCTAACGTTCTTCGACAATTCTAAAGACTCTCCGATGATTCTAACGATTGGTAGAAGATTTTAAAGATTCTCTGGCAATTGCAACGCTCCTTTGATATTTCTAAATATCTACGATGATGATAATGATTTTCAAGATTTTCCGACAGCCCTAAAGATCAAATATTCTGTTATGATTCTAACGATTTTCCGATTGTTTTAATTAATTCTGAAGATTCTCTGGCGCTTCTAAAGATTCTTCGATGATTTTAGAGAGAGCCTGAAGATTCTAAAGATCCTCTAGCAATCCTAACGCTGATTTAAAGATTCTAAACATTCTCTAATGATTTTCAATATTCTCCGACATTTATAAAGATTCTGTTATGATTCTAAAGATTTTTCGATGGTTTTAAGGATGATCTGACGATCCTAAATATTTTATTTATATTAGGTCTCTGACATTTCTAAAGATTATCTATGTTATAAAATTTATCTGAAAATTCTAAAGACTCATGACGATTCTAAAGATTTTCTGACGACTGTGAAGATTTTTTCTAAATTCTATGTACAATCTGACAATTCTAAAGATTGCCTGAAGATTCTAAAGATCCTCTGACAATCCTAACGCTACTTTAAGGGTTGCAAAGATTCTCCGATGATGCTAATAATTTTCAAGATTCTCCGACATTTCTAAAGATTCTGTTATGATTCTAAAGCTTTTTCGATGGTTTCAAGGATGACCTGTCGATCCAAAATATTTTCCGACGATTATATAAGTTCTCTGACAATTCGAAAAATCATCTGTCACTTATAGAAATTCTTGGAAAATTATAAAGATTCATGACGATTATAAACTTCTTCGAAAATTCTAAAGATTTTTTGACGATTCTAAATATTTTCCGACGTTCTCTGTCAATTCTAAAGATTATCTATGTTATAAAAATTAACTGAAAATTCTAAAGATTCATGACGATTCTAAAGTTCTTCAACAATTCTAAAGATTTTCTGACGATTCTGAAGATTTTTTGATAATTCTGAATATTATCTATGGATTCTGAAATATCTTTGATAGTTCTTAAAATCCCCTCTAAAGCTTATCTATCACTTATAAAAATTCTCTGAAAATTCTAAAGATTCGTAAAGTTCTTCGACAATTCCAAAGATTCTCTGACAATTTTTAAGGTTTTTCGATGATTCCAAAGATATTTGGCATTTCTAAAGACTCCGATGATTCTAACGATTGGCAGAAGATTTTAAAGATTATTTGGTAATCCCAACGCTTCTTTGGCATTTCTAAATATCTCCGATGATAATAATGATTTTCCGACAATTCTAAAGATCAAATATTCTGTTATGATTCTAAAGATTTTCCGATTGTTTTAAAGATTTTCTGTCGATTCTAAAGATCCTCTGGCGACCCTAAAGCTAAATATTCTCTGATGATTCTGTGAAAATCGTAAAGTTTGTCTGACGATTCTGAAGGTCACCAGAAATATTCTCTACGATTCTAACGATTATTTGACGATTCTGAAGATCCTCTGACAACAGTAAAGATGCACAGACAAAGTTTACCGATCAATTCAAAGTTTCGTCTAATAAATTAAAGACGTTCAACGATTTTATGAAATGTTTTTTTGTTTATTCCAGACTGATTTAACGTGTCAAAGGATACAGGAGTTCGAGACGCAAGCCTCGTCCGACCTGGAGGTGCGCAACAGCAAAATCGAAGAGTTGACGCGCGCCAACGAAGAACTGCGTCACCAGATATCGACGCAACAGAAGACCATCGATCAGCACAAGCAGCAGGTGAACAAGTGCATCGAAGTGGTGAAAAAGCTGTTGAAAGAGAAGAGCTCGATAGAGAAGAAAGAAGCTAGGCAAAGGTGCATGCAGAACAGGCTCAGGCTGGGACAGTTCGTGACGCAGCGAGTGGGCGCCACCTTCCAAGAGAACTGGACGGATGGACATGCGTTCCAGGAATTGGCAAGGTGGGAACTATCGTGTCGCGCTAATAGCAGTAGATTTGATATCATTTATAAGCGTAAAGCAGCAGAAAATCCTTGAATGTCCAAAATGACCGTTGTTCTTCTTTTTGTCCGACAGGCGACAAGAGGAGATCACGGCCGAGCGCGAGGAGATCGACAGGCAGAAGAAGCTGCTTTTGAAAAAACGGCCGTCGAACAACGAGAGCGGCAGGAAACGGAACAATTCGTCTGCGTCGTCGCTGCACAACGGCACCGCCGATTCGGCCGGCTTCCTCAAACCGGACGCAGTACCAGGATCGCTCACGTTGCAGGAGTACTACGAGGCGGACGAAATACTCAAATTGAGGCAAAATGCGCTTAAGAAGGAGGACGCCGATCTGCAGTTGGAAATGGAGAAGTTGGAAAGGGAGAGGAACCTGCATATTAGGTCAGTTAGCCTCCTTTTTTTAAATCCTCAGCAGTATATTTGTTAACACACTATGGTACTTCAACAAAAAAAAAATATTCTTCGATATTTTAAAAAATCTTGGAATTTTCTAAATTCTTTGAAAGTGTAAATTTATGAGATTTTAATGACTTCTAAATTCTCAAGTTCTTTCAGGTTATAATGATCCTACAAGATTCTCTGAAATCTGGAGATTCTCTAAGATATTCTAAAGATTATAAGATTGTGAAAATTTTCAGAAATTCTGATGATCCTGTGAAACACCTAAGATTCTCCGAGATCCTGAAGATTCTTCGAGATACCCGAAGATTTTTTCGTTTTTCCGACAATTCTTCGGGATTCTAAAAATTCTGAGGATTCTCTGAAATGTCGAAGATTTTCTGAGATTCTGATTTGTTTTCGAGATTCTGTAAATTTTCAGAAAACCTCGTGATTGAAATTGTCCTAAAGTTTTTTCATAGATTCTGAGGACTTTCTCGAGATTCTTAAAATTCTCAGAAATTCAGATAATTCTCCGAAAGTCAAAGATTCTCCGAGGTACCTTAAGATTTTTTTCGAGATTCTTCAAGGTCTCAGAAATTGTGGTTATTGTCTAAAATTGTCTTAAAGTTTTCTGAGATTCTGAGGATTCATCAAGATACTTGAAGGTCTTACGAGATCGCGATTTACTAGGACAAAATATCTGAGACTCTCAGAGATTCTGAAGATTCTTCGAGATACCTGAAGATTTTTTCGGTTTTCCGAAAATTCTTGGGGATTCTAAAAATTCTGAGAAATTCTGAGGATGCTCTGAAATGTCAAAGATTTTCCGAGATTCTGATTTTTTTGGAGATTCTGAAAAATTTCAGAAAATCTGTTGATTGAAATTGTCCTGAAATTTTTTCATAGATTCTGAGAACTTTCTCGAGATTCTGAGATTCTTAAAATTCTCAGAAATTCAGATAATTCTCCGAAATGTCAAAGATTCTCCGAGGTACCTTAAGATTTTTTCGAGATTCTGAAAGGTCTCAGAAATTGTGGTTATTGTCTAAAATTGTCTGAAAGTTTTCCGATATTCTGAGGATTCTTCAAGATACTTGAAGGTCTTACGAGATCGCGATTTACTAGTACAAAATATCTAAGATTCTCAGAGAATCTGAAGATTCTTCGAGATACCTGATGATCTTTTCGGTTTTCCAAAAATTCTTCGGGATTCTAAAAATTCTGAGGATTCGCTGAAATGTCGAAGATCTTCTGAGATTCTGATTTTTTTTCGAGATTCTGTAAATTTTCAGAAAACCTCGTGATTGAAATTGTCCTGAAGTTTTTCCATAGATTCTGAGGACTTTCTCGTGATTCTGAGATTCTTAAAATTCTCAGAAATTCAGATAATTCTCCGAAATGTCAAAGATTCTCCGAGGTACCTTAAGATTTTTTTCGAGATTCTTCAAGGTCTCGGAAATTGTGGTTATTGTCTAAAATTGTCTTAAAGTTTTCTGAGATTCTGAGGATTCATCAAGATACTTGAAAGTCTTACGAGATCGCGATTTACTAGGACAAAATATCTGAGACTCTCAGAGATTCTGAAGATTCTTCGAGATACCTGAAGGTTTTTTCGGTTTTCCGAAAATTCTTGGGGATTCTAAAAATTCTGAGATTTTCTGAGGATGCTCTGACATGTCAAAGATTTTCTGAGATTTTGATTTTTTTCGAGATTATGAACAATTTCAGAAAATCTGTTGATTGAAATTGTCCTGAAGTTTTTTCATAGATTCTGAGGAGTTTCTCGAGATTCTGAGATTCTTAAATTCTCAGAAATTCAGATAATTCTCCGAAATGTCAAAGATTCTCCGACGTACCTTAAGATTTTTTTCGAGATTCTTCAAGGTCTCAGAAATTGTGGTTATTGTCTAAAATTGTCTTAAAGTTTTCTGAGATTCTGAGGATTCATCAAGATACTTGAAGGTCTTACGAGATCGCGATTTACTAGGACAAAATATCTGAGACTCTCAGAGATTCTGAAGATTCTTCGAGATACCTGAAGGTTTTTTCGGTTTTCCGAAAATTCTTGGGGATTCTAAAAATTCTGAGAAATTCTGAGGATGCTCTCACATGTCAAAGATTTTCTGAGATTCTGATTTTTTTGGAGATTCTGAAAAATTTCAGAAAATCTGTTGATTGAAATTGTCCTGAAATTTTTTCATAGATTCTGAGAACTTTCTCGAGATTCTGAGATTCTTAAAATTCTCAGAAATTCAGATAATTCTCCGAAATGTCAAAGATTCTCCGAGGTACCTTAAGATTTTTTCGAGATTCTGAAAGTTCTCAGAAATTGTGGTTATTGTCTAAAATTGTCTGAAAGTTCTCCGATATTCTGAGGGTTCTTCAAGATACTTGAAGGTCTTACGAGATCGCGATTTACTAGGACAAAATATCTGAGACTCTCAGAGATTCTGAAGATTCTTCGAGATACCTGAAGATTTTTTCGGTTTTCCGAAAATTCTTCGGGATTCTATAAATTCTGAGGATGCTCTGAAATGTCAAATATTCTTTGAGATTCTGATTTTTTGAGATACTAAAAACTTTCAGAAAATCTAGTGATTGAAATTGTCCTTAAGTTGTTTTCAGAGATTCTGAGGACTTTCTCGAGATTCTGAGACTCTTAAAATTCTCAGAAATTCAGATATTCTCCGAAATGTCAAAGATTCTCCGAGGTACCTTAAGATTTTTTCGAGATTCTGAAAGGTCTCAGAAATTGTGGTTATTGTCTAAAATTGTCTTAAAGTTTTCCGAGATTCTGAGGATTCTTCAAGGTACTTGAAGGTCTTACGAGGTCGCGATTTACTAGTACAAAATATCTAAGATTCTCAGAGATTCTGAAGATTCTTCGAGATACCTGAAGATTTTTTCGGTTTTCCGAAAATTCTTCGGCATTCTAAAAATTCTGAGAAGGCTCTGAAATGTCAAACATTCTTTGGGATTCTGATTTTTTGAGATTCTAAAAACTTTCAGAAAATCTAGTGATTGAAATTGTCCTTAAGTTGTTTTCAGAGATTCTGAGGACTTTCTCGAGATTCTTAAGATTCTCTGAAATTCAGATAATTCTCCGAAATGACAAAGATTTTCCGAGATACCTTAAGATGTTTTCGAGATTCTGAAAGGTCTCAGAAATTGTGGTTATTGTCTAAAATTGTCTGAAAGTTTTCCGATATTCTGAGGGTTCTTCAAGATACTTGAAGGTCTTACGAGATCGCGATTTACTAGGACAAAATATCTAAGACTGTCAGAGATTCTGAAGATTCTTCGAGATACCTGAAGATTTTTTCGGTTTTCCGAAAATTCTTCGAGATTCTAAAAATTCTGAGGATGCTCTGAAATGTCAAATATTCTTTGAGATTCTGAAAACGTTCAGAAAATCTAGTGATTGAAATTGTCCTTAAGTTGTTTTCAGAGATTCTGAGGACTTTCTCGAGATTCTGAAATTCTTAAAATTCTCAGAAATTCAGATAATTCTCCGAAATGACAAAGATTCTACGAGGTACCTTAAGATTTTTTCGAGATTCTGAAAGGTCTCAGAAATTGTGGTTATTGTCTGAGATTGTCCTAAAGTTTTACGAGATTGAGGTCTTCGATTTTTCGAGAATCTGTAGATTCTTTGAAACTCTGAGAGTACTGATGATTTTCTGAAACTTCAAAGATCCTCTGAAGTTCTAAACATTCAAACATTCTCTGGATGTCTTGAAGTTTTTCCGAGATGTGCGAATATCTTTCTATATTCTGAAAATTTTCAGAAATTTTGTTTATTCGAAAACCTTCTAAAAATTATTTAAGATTTTTCAAAGATACCTGAAGATTTTACGAGGTCCGGAAGATTCACTGAGATTCATGAAAAATTTTTTCAAGATTCTTTGATTCTCTGAAATCCTGTGAATTCTGACGATTTTCTAAAGATTCTCCGAGATACCTGAAGATTTTTTGAGATTCTGAGGATTGTTCGAGATTCTCAATGTCTCAGAAATTCTGATGTTTGTCTGAAATCGTCCTATAGATTTTCTAAGTTTCTGAAGATTCTTTAGTGATTCTGATGATTCTTCGAGATACTTGAAGACCTTACAAGGAATAGAAGATTCTCAAGTTCCTTCGAAATATCTTGAAGATTTTTTTTTGATACTAAAGATTCTTCAGGATTCTCAATGTCTCAGAAATTCTGGTTATTGTCTGAAATTGCCGAAATTCTGAGGGTTTTTGGAGATGCTTGAAGATCCTATGAGGTCTAGAAGATTTTCTGTGATTTTTTTCGAGAATCTGAAGAAATCCCGATGATTTCCTGAAACTTCAAAGATTCTCTGAGATTCTAAACATTGTCTAGATACGTTGAAGATTTTCCTAGATTCTCAAGTTCCTTCGAAAGATTTTTTTGAGATACTAAAGATTCTTCAGGATTCTCAATGTCTCAGAAATTCTGATTATTGTCTGAAATCCACCTATAGATTTTCTAAGATTCTGAAGATTCTTTAGAGATTCTGAAGATTGTTCGAGATACTTGAACGACTTACAAGGTTTAGAAGATTCTCTGAGATATATATATATATATGATGATTTATTCGAGAACCTGCATTGATTTTGAGATTCTGAAATTCTCAGAAATCCTGATGGTATTCTGAAATTTCGAAGATTCTCCTAGATTCTGAAGTTCCTTCTAAATATCTTGAAGCTTTTTTTGAGATTAAAGATTCTTCGAGATTCTCAATGTCTCAGAAATTCTGATTATTTTCTGAAATCGACCTATAGATTTTCTAAGATTCTGAAGATTCTTTAGAGATTCTGAAGATTCTTCGAGATATTTGAAGATCTTACAAGGAATAGAAGATTCTCAAGTTCCTTCGAAATATCTTGAAGGTTTTTTGGAGATACTAAAGATTCTTCAGAATTCTCAATGTCTCAGAAATCCTGGTGATTGTCTGAAATTGCCGAAATTCTGAGGGTTTTTCGAGATGCTTGAAGATATTATGAGGTCTAGAAGATTTTCTGGGATTATTTTCGAGAATCTGAAGAAATCCTGATGATTTCCTGAAACTTCAAAGATTCTCTGAGATTCTAAACATTGTCTAGATATGTTGAAGATTCTCCGACATAAGTGAAGATTTGTCGAGATTTTTTAGAGAACCTGCATAGTTTTTCAGATTCTGAAAATTCTCAGAAATCCTGATGGTATTCTGAAATTTCAAAGATTTTTCTAGATTCTCAAGTTCCTTCGAAAGATTTTTTTGAGATACTAAAGATTCTTCAGGATTCTCAATGTCTCAGAAATTCTGATTATTGTCTGAAATCCACCTATAGATATTCTAAGATTCTGAAGATTCTTTAGAGATTCTGAAGATTGTTCGAGATACTTGAACGACTTACAAGGTTTAGAAGATTCTGTGAGATATATATGATGATTTATTCGAGAACCTGCATAGTTTTTGAGATTCTGAAATTCTTAGAAATCCTGATGGTATTCTGAAATTTCAAAGATTCTCCTAGATTCTGAACTTCCTTCTAAATATCTTGAAGCTTTTTTTAAGATGTTAAAGATTCTTCGAGATTCTCAATGTCTCAGAAATTCTGATTATTGTCTGAAATCGACCTATAGATTTTCTAAGATTCTGAAGATTCTTCGAGATACTTCAACAACTTGGTTTAGGAGATTCTCTGAGATTTATATGATTTATTCGAGAACCTGCATAGTTTTTGAGATTTTGAAATTCTCAGAAATCCTGATGGTATTCTGAAATTTCAAAGATTCTCCTAGATTCTGAAGTTCCTTCTAAATATCTTGAAGCTTTTTTTGAGATGTTAAAGATTCTTCGAGATTCTCAATGTCTCAGAAATTCTGATGATTTTCTGAAATCGACCTATAGATTTTCTAAGATTCTGAAGATTCTTCGAGATACTTCAACAACTTGGTTTAGGAGATTCTCTGAGATTTATATGATGATTTATTCGAGAACCTGGATTGATTTTGAGATTCTGAAATTCTCAGAAATCCTGATGGTATTCTGAAATTTCAAAGATTCTCCTAGATTCTGAAGTTCCTTCTAAATATCTTGAAGCTTTTTTTGAGATTTTGAAGATTCTTCGAGATTCTCAGTGTCTCAGAAATTCTGATTATTGTCTGAAGTCGACCTACAGATTTTCTAAGATTCTGAAGATTCTTCGAGATACTTGAACAACTTGGTTTAGGAGATTCTCTGAGATTTATATGATGATTTATTCGAGAACCTGCGTAGTTTTTGAGATTCTGAAATTCTTAGAAATCCTGATGGTATTCTGAAATTTCAAAGATTCTCCTAGATTCTGAAGTTCCTTCTAAATATCTTGAAGCTTTTTTTGAGATGTTAAAAATTCTTCGAGATTCCCAATGTCTCAGAAATTCTGGTTATTTTCTGAAATTGCCAAAATTCTGAGGGTTTTTCGAGATGCTTGAAGATCCTATGAGGTCTAGAATATTATCTGGGATTTTTTTCGAGAATCTGAAGAAATCCTGATGATTTCCTGAAACTTCAAAGATTCTAAACATTGTCTAGATACGTTGAAGATTCTCCGACATACGTGAAGATTTGTCGAGATTTTTTCGAGAACCTGCATAGTTTTTCAGATTCTGAAAATTCTCAGAAATCCTGATGGTATTCTGAAATTTAAAAAAGATTTTCCTAGATTCTCAAGTTCCTTCGAAAGATTTGTTTGAGATACTAAAGATTCTTCAGGATTCTCAATGTCTCAGAAATTCTGATTATTGTCTGAAATCGACCTATAGATTTTCTAAGATTCTGAAGATTCTTTAGAGATTCTGAAGATTGTTCGAGATACTTGAACAACTTCAAGGTTTAGAAGAATCTATGAGATATATATGATGATTTATTCGAAAACCTGCATAGTTTTTGAGATTCTGAAATTCTCAGAAATCCTGATGGTATTCTGAAATTTCAAGTATTCTCGCTAGATTCTGTAGTTCCCTCTAAATATTTCGAAGCCTTTTTGAGATGTTAAAGATTCCTCGAGATCCTCAATGTCTCAGAAATTCTGAATGTGTCTGAAATCGACCTATAGACTTTCTAAGATTCTGAAGATTCTTTAGAGATTCTGAACATTCTTCGAGATACTTGAGCAACTTGGTTTAGGAGATTCTCTGAGATTTATATGATGATATTCGAGAACCTGCATAGTTTTTGAGATTCTGAAATTCTCAGAAAGCCTGGTGGTATTCTGAAAATTCAATAATTCTCCGAAATTCTGAAGATCCTTCGAGATATCTGCAGATTTTTTTCGAGTGTCCGAAGATTCTTCGAGATTCCTAAATTTCTCAGAAATTCTGGTTATTTTCTGAAATTGCCGAAATTCTGAGTGTTTTTCGAGAAGCTTGAAGATCCTATGAGGTCTAGAAGATTTTCTGGGATTTTTTTCGAGAATCTGAAGAAATCCTGAAGATTTCCTGAAACTTCAAAGATTCTTTGAGATTCTAATCATTGTCTAGATACGTTGAAGATTCTCCGACTCTAGAGATTCTAAAGATTTTCCGAGATACCTGTAGATTTTTTCGAGATTCTGAAAATTCTGAGTAAATCCTGATATTTCTCTTAAATCCGTTTTTAAAACTTTCTGGGATTCTAAGGCATCTCTGGAATTTCTGAAGATTCTCCAAGTTGCTGAACATTCTCTAGGAATTCTGAAGATTTTCCGAGATACATGAAAAATTTTCGAGATATTTTTTAAGAATAAACAGTTTTTGTTTTAATTCTAAAGAAATTATTGCGATCCTACTACCTTCATCTTTAACTATTTTTTTTTTTTTCAGGGAACTGAAACGTATCCACAACGAGGACCAGTCTCGGTTCAACAACCATCCGGTGCTGAACGACCGGTACCTTTTGCTGATGCTGCTTGGAAAAGGCGGTTTCAGCGAGGTCCATAAAGCGTTCGACCTCAAGGAGCAGCGGTACGTCGCCTGCAAGGTCCACCAGCTCAACAAAGATTGGAAGGAGGATAAGAAGGCCAACTATATCAAGTGAGTTTCTATGGTAATGTGTTAAACAACCAAAAGGGGCGTGATAAAAACTCGGCATTACCAAATTATACAGAGTCTTGCAGAATGTCAAGAAGGCGAATTTGGCACGTACAGTTAGATCCGAAAATTCCCTGTTTCGCGTGCTACATTTGTCTTTAGAATTTTCCTGGCAATACTCTGAGGATCATTGTATTTATTTCGACTGGAAAATGTAATATTTTTTCTTTGTTCCAGACATGCGTTGCGGGAGTATAACATCCACAAAGCGCTAGATCATCCGCGAGTAGTTAAACTCTACGATGTGTTTGAAATAGACGCAAATTCCTTCTGTACTGTACTAGAATACTGTGATGGTCATGATCTTGATTTTTATTTAAAACAAGTAAGTACCGTATTTTCCTTGCGTTATCTGATCTGTATATATATATATATATATATATATATATATATATATATATCAATAAAATATAATATTCAAAGGTGCTAAAAACCACTCTTTACAAACAGGGTGAGTCGAGAACTCCGTTATTGCGCATGGTATCTAAAAAAGTTTGAAAGCCTTTTGTGAAAAATATTTTTATCTCTAGAAGCTACGTGATGACCTAAACATCAGTTTTTTTATGGAAAGGTCTATATTTTATATAGGCCCTATTATAGGGTATTATTTTCAGCTGTTGCACAAACTATCGAAAAAGAAAAACTCAACTTTTGACAGCTGGCACCCCTGGATTACTGAATTTTTCGTTAGAAAAAAATGTATGATCTCATATCTTGTTCGTATCTACTTATTTTTGCATTGTTTTGGACAGGGAGGTCAAGAGCGCAGAATGAAAATATCTCAAAATTTGTAAATGGAAGACCCTGTATTTTTCCATAGGCTTTTTTTTTATATAAAGCTTACTTGTTTTTGAGTTGCAGCTTTTGTAAATCATATGTCAAGGTAAATGAAAATATTACAATACCTTTCAAGATGAAAAAAAAAATGCATTTTGTTGGTAACGAGAGATATTAAGAATTGGTTTATTTTCATTATACATTGAATCTATGCAGCTCCATTGAATGAACACTAAAAATCAAGAAGGTGTCCTGTGTTTTTTGTAACTCGACAACCAGTCGTAAAGGTAAAAAATCTTGTGAAAATGGGTATCAAAAATGTGAAAAAATACACAGGGTATTTATTCCATTGGAAAATTTCCTATCCAAGAAACTGAAACGAAAAATTCAGTACTCTAGCTAGGTTTCAATGTAAAGTGTATTATTCTTTTTTTCTGATATATTCTCAGCAATTTGAAAACGAAACTTTTATATCAAATCGCTTCATTTGAAAAAGTCTATCGAAATTTGTTTGCTTTCTACAATGTCCATAATATCCATATTACACAGTATATCACAAAATATATTATGTCTTCAAGACTACATATTTTTATACAAAATTTTACTACTTGAATTCTGGTTTTCCATGAGATATTTTTTCAATTTCCCTTTAAACATTTTCAAACTGACACTCATCTTACTTAATTTAATAAATTCGTACAATCCCTTTTGAAATAGTGACTTGCTCGTTATATTGCTACTGCAGTTTTGTAAATGAAAATCTATACTTCCTCTAGTAGAATAATTGTGGCACTCATTGTTCAATACAATAAAATTTTTCAAGTGATTTTGTGGAAGATGATTTTTTAACTTTAATATGAAAATGAAGTAGGCTGTGAAATTTTTGATATTTAACCATTGTAGTTCTTGCAGCCTAAAATTTATTCTAGTATATTTATTTTTATTTAAGATGATTCTCATAGCTTTATTTTGTAATTTTGAAAATACAGTTTCATTAGCAATGAACAAAATAGTCGAACAATATAACAAATGAGGAAGAATGATAGTGTTGTACACAATTTTTTTAGAAGAAACGCTTAGTCTATACGAAATTCTATAAAAGTAATCTATTTTGTTGGATATTTTTGAAATATATTCATAGTGCCCTTCAAATTTTAGTTTACTGTCTACGTATATGCCCAAATATTTAAATGATTCGATTGACACAATTTTTTCATGATTAATTGTAAGATTTTATCGTATTTTGATTTAAAGGTTTTTCTATTAGCTCATATTTTGTTTTGTTTATGTTTAGTTTAAGTTTATTTACATTTAACCAATTTATTACGTTTTTCATATCATTTTTTAACAGCTCTATTGCAGTTTCAATGTCTTTATTTAATATATATATATAACTTGAGACGTGGTCATTGTCGTCTAGACCAGTTAGGTGAAAAATTAAAGCTTCCGCCTTTTGTTGGGTACTTCGACAAAATTTAAGCAAAGAGGACTCTTTATACTTTTTTAATTGTCTCTAGCTTTCAATGGACTTTGCCATCATCATCAGGAGCTGCAATTACAATGATAACAGTAGCAACAAAAGTGTAAAATGAATTTAAATTGAATCAACTTACAGTAGTATGTGAGGATGTTGCTAATTGTTGTTTTCGTATAGGATATATATATATATATATATATATATATTAATGTTTCATCAGCAAATAGTTGAATTTTGCATTGTTGTAAAATATCAGGAATATCGTTAATATATAAAATAAATAGTAATGGACCTAATTTGCTAGGCAAAAAATGTTTTTAATGTTTGATAATGTATTGCCAATTTTAGTTCTTTGACTTTTATTAATTAAATAATTTTGTAATAAGTTGAATTCAAAACCTTGAAATCCATAGCAATGCAATTTCATTAACAATTTCTCCCTGTCAATAGTCTCAAATGCTCTCTTGAAATCTAAGAACAATGTTTTTTCATCCATATTTCGCCTCCATCTTATTTTCTTCAATATATTCGATGACTTGTTCATATATGATTTAAAGATTTTTTTTTTAGATACTTGTTTCACTTTTGCATGATGATAAACCCGATCTGGACGACCCATGACAGTCAATATGTTTCAAGACGGGACTGATACTTGCCAATCCAAATAACCCTCGCTTTTTTGCGTTAATTGACAATGACATTTTCGCGTTTTTCTTTTTTACTAGCACAAAACGATACCTGAGCGTGAGGCGCGCTCGATCATAATGCAGGTGGTATCCGCGTTGAAGTACCTGAACGAAATCAAGCCTCCAGTGATCCACTACGACCTGAAGCCGGGCAACATCCTGCTGACCGAAGGCAACGTGTGCGGCGAGATCAAAATCACAGATTTCGGCCTCAGCAAAGTCATGGACGAGGAGAATTACAATCCGGATCACGGGATGGACTTGACGTCGCAGGGAGCCGGTACCTATTGGTAAGTACAGGGTTTCTCAACCTTTTTTTTGCTTGAGGCTCCCAGGACTATAAGTTATATTTTCATGCCCCCCTTTCCTTTTTCAATGAATACAAAAAAAACGCACATTATATAGGTACAAAGACTTTTTAGTTCTAATAAAGAAACTTTGACAGTTTAAATAAACTAATAAATGTTTTTTATCGAAAAACTTGCATAAAATAAGAGTAGGTACTAATGAGACACTTGAGATTGCATGTTCTGTACCAGTTGGTTGATTCTGGGTTCTGTTTATGCCAGAGCTATCGACATCAAGACATTTTCGGTGTTTAGTTTTAATTAAGACTGTTTTTCTTTGAAATCAAGGAAAAGAATTACCTCTTCTTTCAATCGATAAAGGCCATCCAACATGTTGCCTTTGGACAGCCAGCGTACTTCTGTATGGAACAGAAGAACTTTGTGATCAGAAACGAGATCCTCGCAAAGTAAATAACCGACTGTTCAAAGCGCTGCTCTTGATGTAGTTTACAATCGTTATAGCCGAGTTCAAAGTCTGGCGTAATTTCTGTGGCAATGTCTTGGAAGCCAAAGCTTGGCGATGAATAACAATTTGTACTAACCATTGGGATTTTTTTCCTTGAGCTTTTTAGCTAAGCTCGATCGTACACCTATCATTGCAGGTGCGCCATTTGTGCAAAGTCCAATGAGTTTTTTTCCAATCCAAATCATTTTTTTTAATAAAATTTGATATCGAATTAAATATATCTTCAGATGTAGTACTTGCTGTCAAAGATTGGGAGTACAAAATCTCTTCTTGAATGATATCTCCGCCGATGTAACTATGCACAATTAACGATGTCGGTGGATTCATCGCAACTAATGGCAAAAAAGGCCTTAATTTTACTTTGTTAATTATGTATTTTTTAGCAGTTATTTCCACCGCCATCTACTATATGACGCTAACGTCTGTGGATATGTCATATATGAGAAGCGCTTGCCTGCGGTGTTGCCGGATTGGGCTCCGTATTTAGGGAAAAATATGAAAAGTGAAAAAATATATTAATGAAAAATAAAAACAAAAAACTGAAACAAACAACAGTAGTAAAATTAAAAGTGATTCTTACTAAGTATAAAACAAAAAATAACAAACAGCAGTAAAATAAAAAGCGATTCTAAGTGATTATAAAAAACTAAAAATCAAAACAGTAGTAAAACAAAAAACAATTCCATTTAATTATAAAAAAAACAAAAAATAACAAACAGTAAAATAATAAGCAATTTGGGTGGAATTAAATTGTTCTTCGTTTTACTACAGTTTTTACTTTTTGTTTTGTGTTGTCATTTAGAATTGCTTTTTATTCAACAAGGAATTGTTTTTTTTTTGTTTTACTACTTTTTATTTTACCGCTGTTTGTTATTTTTTGATTTTTATAATTATATGGAATTAATTTTTGTTTTACTACTGTTTTTATTTTTTGTTTTTTATAATTATAATTTATCATTTTTTAGCTTACTACTGTTATTTTTTGATTTATACTTATTAGGAATCGCCCTTTGTTTGTTTCAGTTTTTCAATTTTGCGATTCCTTAATTAATATACATATGTATATAAATTTTCAACTTTTTACATTTTCCCTAAATGCGGAGCCCAATCCGGCAACACCGCAGGCAAGCGCCTGTCATATATGACATATGCACAAACGTCTACGTCATATGGCAGATAGATGGCGGTGCAAATAATGATGGAAAGGACAGCTAAAAATACAATATTTTGGGAACATTTTTTCATAAAAAGCGTGCTTCATCCACACTTTTTTGTTTCTAAATAATCTATCAGACTACCATCTAAAAGTTTTAAGAGAAAAAAACAGTGAAATCGGAAGCTCTAACAAGACGCAACAGCACCTTTTTCAATAGGTTCTTACTTGAGGCATCTCTCGATCGGCGAATGTTGCATCGTGTACAAAATTTCCGAAAGGCAGCTACGTATGAATCACCAGCCTTAAAGTAAGCCTCGGTAGCAAAAGCGCATTGCGCTCCGGTCCAACGTTCCATTGTGACTATTTAACCCGCACGCCGAACGCGTCGATCAAGACGTCTCCCCACTTCCTCGCGTATACCGTTGCCGCGGAATTCAAATTTGAAATGAGAACTTTTCAACTAGACACCCTGGAACTATTAATGGAAATATTTGCTTTATTTACAATAACTACTCGTTATTTTTTAGGAAAAAATATGAAAAGAGAAAATTTATATTAATGAAACACAAAAACAAAAAACTGAAACAAACAGCAGTAGTAAAATTAAAAATGATTCTTACTAAGTATAAAACAAAAAATAACAAACAGCAGTAAAATGAAAAGCAATTCTAAGTGATTATAAAAAACAAAAAATCAAAACAGTAGTAAAACAAAAAACAATTCCATTTGATTATAAAAAAAACAAAAAATAACAAACAGTAAAATAAAAAGCAATTTGGATGGAATTAAATTGTTCTTCGTTTTACTACTGTTTTTATTTTTTGTTTTGTGTTGTCACTTAGAATTGCTTTTGATTCAACAAGGAATTGTTTTTTTTTGTTTTACTACTTTTTATTTTACTGCTGTTTGCTATTTTTTGATTTTTATAATTACATGGATTTAGTTTTTGTTTTACTACTGTTTTTATTTTTTGTTTTACTACTGTTTTTATTTTTTGTTTTTTATAATTATAATTTATCATTTTTTAACTTACTACTGTTATTTTTTGATTTATACTTATTAGGAATCGCCTTTTATTTTGCTACTGTTGTTTGTTTCAGTTTTTCATTTTTGCGATTCTTTAATTAATATACATATGTATATAAATTTTCATATTTTCCCTAAATGCGGAGCCCAATCCGGCAACACCGCAGGCAAGCGCCTCTCATATATGACATATGCACAAACGTCTACGTCATATGGCAGATAGATGGCGGTGCAAATAATGATGGAAAGAACAGCTAAGAATACAATGTTTTGGGAACATTTTTTCATAAAAAGCGTGCTTCATACACACTTTTTTTTGTTTCTAAATAATCAGACTACCCTCTAAAAGTTTTAAGAGAAAAAACAGTGACAACAAGACGCAACAGCACCTTTTTCAATAGGTTCTTACTTGAGGCATCTCTCGATCTGCGAATGTTGCATCGTGTACAAAATTTCCGAAAGGCAGCCGCGTATGAATCACCATTCTTAAAGTAAGCCTCTGTAGCAAAAACACGTTGCGCTCCGGTCCAACGTTCCATTGCGACTATTTAACCCGCTCGCCGAACGCGTCGATCAAGACGTCTCCCCACTTCCCCGCGTAATTCAAATTTGAAATGGGAACTTTCCAACTAGACACCCTGGAACTATTAATGGAAATATTTGCTTTATTTACAATAACTACACGTTATTTTTTTTTCAGGTATCTTCCTCCGGAGTGTTTCGTGGTGGGTAAGAATCCTCCGAAAATCTCGTCAAAAGTGGACGTGTGGAGCGTCGGTGTGATATTTTATCAGTGTCTGTACGGCAAAAAGCCGTTCGGTCACAACCAGTCGCAAGCGACTATCCTAGAGGAGAATACGATCCTCAAGGCGACTGAGGTGCAGTTCGCCAACAAACCCGCTGTGACTAACGAAGCTAAGGTAGGATTAATCTCGTGTATTACAAGTTTACAAGAATAAATTAAAAAAATAGTTTGTTTGACTATAGTACAGTGCGTACCAAACCTTTTATCTCATAGATCGCTTTGCAAATTTTGCTGGATTCAAATTTCATATTCCAAAAGCTCGTCAAGGAGTGTGAAGATTAGATCTCACGAAATGGCCATCACATATACGAGCTCCTTCCCACTTCAGTTGGCCCACTTCAAGATTTGTACCAAAATATGCCTTTATAAACTAAACATGACGAAACTATTTACTTCTAAAACAATTTATTCTCTCAAAAACGTTTTAGATACACTCTAGTCGTAAACAATACATATTTGAAATCACTTAGACCTATAACTAATAGAACATCTAAACAATGTGCGAATAAATGCGCGAAGTTAACAAAGCACCTTTATTTTTTATTACGGCTGAAATTCTTTGGGGCATAGTGTTAACCAAGTTTTGGCAAAAATTTGATGTAAAACAATGCCATATTTCTTGAAGCTTGTGTCTCAATTCGGTGATTGTACGAGCAGGATGTTGTCGTAGAACCTTTTTCATCTCGTGCCACAAAGTTTCAATAGGTGACAGATCTGGACTGCTAGAAACCCATTTCAAAAGTGGTACATTATTTTCTTCCATCCATTTTATAGCCTTTTTTGAGGTATGGCACGCTGCACCATCTTGCTGAAACACAAAATCTTGGCCGGATGTCAAACATTCTTCCATCACTGGTAAAAGCGATTCTTCTAAAATGGCCAAATATTTGTTTGTATCCACATTTCCATCAATAAAATGAAGTTTTCCTACTCCTTTTGATGACATACTGTCCCAGACCATAATGGATGCTGGAAATTTCACTTTTCTCTTCAGACAGTCAACATGGAATGCTTCATTTTTTTTTGCGAATAACTCTACTGCGACTGTCACCAACACAAACTTTGAATCGGGCCTCATCACTCCATTGTATTGCACACCATTGTTGAGGTGCCAATTGTCTATGTTCTTCAGCCCATCTAAGCCGATTTTTCTTTTGCTGTGGAGTTAATAGTGGCTTTTCTTTGGTCTATAAACAAGTTGTGCAACTTTAGGGTTTTTACCTCTCTTTTTTTATAAGAAAACTTACCACAGAGCACTTAATTATAAGTAATAGGCACGCCTGTTTTTCACGATTATTCTTCTTAATGCTCTTCGGTCGCCATTTGTGATATTACTTTTTTTGACATATCGTGGCTTAATATTAACTGAACCTGTCACGTTATATCTTCTAACAATATTTCTCACAGTGTACCGCGATAAGTCTAACAAAGTTGCAATTTCTGAGTTTGATTTCCCATAATTAAAAAATTTAATTATCAGTAACCGAATTTTCTCAATAATAACCTTTCCTCTACCCATTTTGAAAACCTTAACTACCCAAAACTATTTTTAAACGTATTCTGACAGCTGTGATTAATAAAAACAATTGTCATGACTTTTATTTTTCACAGCCACCTATGCGTTATAGACTTATTTTGCATTGAAACGAAAATAGGTTATTTTTATGCTGCAAATTTGATTAGGGAGTGATAAAGTTGGTGTTTTCTACTAAACAGGGTGTCCCAGAAGTCGACGTCAAGCCGAAACCGGGTGATAGGCAAAGTCATATCAGCCATCAGAAAAATATTTAAAAAATTATTATGTATGTGTTTTGAAAATTATAGGTCTTTGAAAAAAATATAGAAATTTCACACCCTACGGCAGTCTGTCAACTCCTGTTACTACAAATATTAACTTTTTTGGATTTTATTTTTACAATGTAATGATGAATAATGCATCTTCAAACTGGTGTCTCAACCTTACTGCCAACTTTTCTCGTTCAGGAAAAGTTGCCACTTATTTCCCAACCAAGTATTTCAAAGTAAAACTTTGCTCAACTTTAACAGGCTGTACTGGAAAAAAATGTACTACGACAGTTTGGCAAGTAACCTTAAAAGTTGGCGCATTTAATAACGATTCCAAAATGGTATAACACTTAGAAGATTACTCGTTAACTTATGCACAATTTTTATTTGAAGAAAAACTGATGAAAATTTTTCAAAATTTCCTAATTAAACAGCGATTATGAAAACGCACAAGGACCCTTAAGGATAACTGTTTGCACAACAGTGGGCTTCAAAATGCTGCTGATGATGATTTACCTTTACAGCAAATGCTCAAACTGTTTTCCTTCAGCCGCAATACACGGTCGACATCTTCTTAAAAAAGATTATTAAACGAGCGAATCCACGGTTATTAACAAACTCAGCTGCTTCCAATAGTCTTTGCCGTAGCTCAGCTACATTTTGAATCGGCTTGAAATACACTTTTTCTTTTACAGTTCCCCAGTAAAAAAATCTAAAGGATTCAAATCAGGTGATCGGGCTGGCCACGGTATTTTGTACCAGACCGCCTTATCCATCTGCCTGGAAAGTTTTGATCGAGATACTCTCTCACTGAGAGTGCATAGTGCGCTGGGCAGCCATCATGCTGAAACCACATGTCCCTGTAAATACTCAGTGGCACGTCCTCCAATAAATTTTCTAAATGATTTTGCAAAAAACCTAAATAAACCTCAGCAGTCAAAGTCTCTGGGAACTGAAACGGACCGATTATTTTACCATTTAAAATTCCTGTCCAATGGTTTATCTTGAAGCGATATTGAGATTTATCTTCTCTCATCAAATGTGGGTTTGCTACGTGCCACTCGTGTAAGTTATGCAGGTTCATGTACCCGTCTTTCTTAAATGTGGTCTCATCTGACTATAAAATTTTTTCAAAGAACCGTGGATCTTCCCTGTATCTTTCTAACATTGTGCGACAAAAAGCAACTCGGGGCTCAGCAGCTGAGTTTGTTAATAATCGTGGATTCGTTCGTTTAATAACCCGATCTTTTTTCAGAAGACGTCGAGCGTGTATTGCGGCTGAAGGAAAACAGTTTGAGCATTTGCTGTAAAGGTAAATGATCATCAGCAGCATTTTGACGCCCACTGTTGTGCAAATAGTTATCCTTAAGGGTCCTTGTGCGTTTTCATAATCGCTGTTTAATTAGGAAATTTTGAAAAATTTTCATCAGTTTTTTTTTCAAATAAAAATTGTACATAAGTTAACGAGTATCTTCTAAGTGTTATACCATTTTGAAATCGTTATTAAATGCATCAACTTTTAAGGTTACTTGCCAAACTCTCGTAGTACATTTTTTTCCAGTACAGCCAGTTAAAGTTGAGCAAAGTTTTACTTTGGAATACTTGGTTGGGAAATAAGTGGCAATTTTTCCTGAACGAGAAAAGTTGGCAGTAAGGTTGAGACACCAGTTTGAAGATGCATTATTCATCATTACATTGTAAAAATAAAATCCAAAAAAAGTTCATATTTGTAGTAACAGGAGTTGACAGACTGCCGTAGGGTGTGAAATTTCTATATCTTTTTCAAAGACCTATAATTTTCAAAACACATACATAAATTTTTTTTAAATATTTTTCTGATAGCTGTTATGACTTTGCCTTTCACCCGGTTTCGGCTTGACGTCGACTTCTGGGACACCCTGTATATTATCAAAATATTCATTGTTAATATTTTAAACCTATAACAGCCTGCTACATTTTTATTATTTGTGTTTGATAAGAAAAAAACTAAGATTTCAATAGTTGGGCCAACTGAAGTGGGAAGGGGCTCGTACATCATAAAGAGAAGTGGCCCTAGCACTGATCCTCGAGGAATGAACCTGACTGTGTCTTATCATTGCAGAGTTTCATCCGTAGCTGCCTGGCGTACCGCAAGGAGGACCGCATCGACGTGCTGTCGCTGGCGCGGCACGAGTACCTGCAGCCGCCGATGCCGAAGCATTCGCGACTGACCTCGGCCAGCCAGCAAGCTCAGCAACAGCAGCAACAGGCGCAGCAGCAGCAGGCTCAGCAACAGCAAAGCGGTTCCTTTTCGACGGGCATCTTCGGCGCTGCGATGAACGCTTCGTCGAGCTCTTAGTGCACGTTCAAGGGGGCGTGAGAGGGGAGACGCGGGGGACGCAGGCCGGCGGCGACCAATTCTAAGGGGACGACGTCCACGACCAGGCGCAGGCACAGGGTCGGGCTGATTTAACGTACATTCGGACATTTAGCTTGAATTGATTAATTTCACTTATGTTTTTTTTAAAAGGTTTTTCAAGAAACTGTTACGATGTTTTTAAGGCAGAAGGTACTTACAGTATTATGGAGGGTTTCCATAAGTATTAGGGGCAAAGTACTCCTTTAAATTGCATTCAATGATTGATTGAAAAGAAAGGATCGTAAGGCTGTTTTTGGGCCCGGGAAATAAACTCAATAAAGTTGTGACTATGAAATTTTATACAGTCCTTTTCAAAGGTCTACCTGAATGTGCTCTAAAACATGAGACGTTCTGTTCCAGAAAATTCGATAGATTTTGTCAATTTTTTTAATGGAACGTTCCACATTTTCTTACATATTTAAATGCAGGATTCGTTGCCGAGTTAATAGCGATTCAATCTGCGCTCAGCTTTGACTGTCTAGAGAAATAAATATTGCAAAATGATACAAAATCTCCATATTGAAATTTTCGGCTGCCACTTTCACGCTGTCACATAGTATTCCTACATTTTCATTACCCCCAAAATCAACTTTCTAATTTGACCAAATCAAAATAATAAGTAGGGGCGTCAACATTATTATTTTTATTTCAGTTATTGTTTTTTAACAGCTCGAATTTCGCAGTTTTGGCGTTTGGTCCATTTTCGAAAATTTTACATTTTATCTTTGTAAGAGTTCTTGATCGTCATGCTTTCTACTTCAAGTCTACTACCCCGTACTAAGACACTAAACATAATATCTGAAAATAAAAGTGTTGACACTTTGGTCACAATAAAAAGGGTTGTGGTGAATTTTGGACAAAAACGACAAAATTGTGAACCTCGGACTATTAAAGAAAAATTAAGCACTGAGACAAACAGAAAAATGTTTATGAAAGCTTAAGAGTTTTGAAATATTTAAAAGCAAAAATATTTATAGAAACATTGGAGTTATTTTCCTTGCCTGAATGTGCTCTAAAACATGAGACGTTCTGTTCCAGAAAATTTGATAGATTTTGGCAAGTTTTTTAATGGAACGTTCCACATTTTCTCACATATTTAAATGCAGGATTCGTGGCCGAGTTATTAGCGATTCAATGTGCGCTCAACTTTGACTGTCTAGAGAAATAAATATTGCAAAATGATACAAAATCTCCATCTTGAAATTTTCGGCTGCCACTTTCACGCTGTCACAATAGTATTTTCATTACCCCCAAAATCAACTTTCTAATTTGACCAAATCAAAATAATAAGTAGAGGCGTCAACATTATTATTTTTATTTCAGTTATTGTTTTTTAACAGCTCGAATTTCGCAGTTTTGGCGTTTGGTCCATTTTCGAAAATTTAATATTTTATCTTTGTAAGAGTGCTTGATCGTCATGCTTTCTACTTCAAGTCTACTACGTAATAAGACACTAAACATAATATCTGAAAATAAAAGTGTTGTGACATTATGGTCAAAATAAAAAGGGTTGAGGTGAATATTGGACAAGAACGACAAAATTGTGAACCTCCGACTATTAAAGAAAAATTAAGCACTGAGATAAACAGAAAAATGTTTATGAAAGCTTAAGTTTTGAAATATTTAAAAGCAAAAATATTTATAGAAATATTGGAGTTATTTTCCTTGCCACAAAACCAATTTTATATTGTGGAACCTGTGTTTATTGGAACCTGTAGGGTTACTTTTGTATGTACTTTCTGCCTGAGAAATATTTTTTTTCAATTGACTAAATATAAAACAAGTGAATCAAAAATCATCTCATTCTCAATACTTGTTTTGTACTTATTAATTAGCAAGTGTTTTTGTGATATCTAATAATCGGTGACAGAATCACGGATTTAAATTATTTTGAGATTGTTTTTGAAAATCAAGCCCAACTTTGCCGAAAGTCGGCGTGCCCCCCCCCCGCATATCGCTTTAGCGCTATGACCGAAAAAATGTCTAAAAACTTCTTGCAAAATCCATAATTATCAAGATACTCATCCTACAGTAAAAAAAGTATTTTTTTTCTCCATACATTGACACTCGTATATTTCTTGTCAACTGCTTGAAGTGGAGTATACGATGACGTGCTAATATTTAAGGTGGTTCTTGGACCTATTTTAGGAAAATAAAAATTCCTATGAACTAATGGGATTTATGAATACATGCAGCTTTCGACCACTTGGTATCTATTCTAACTTTGTTAGGAAATCTGTGTCAGTGCCTGTTTGGAAAACAAATAAAAAACTCACTAAAATCTGATCTGATTTCAAAAGAAGCTTGGGCACCGACACAGAGTTGGAGACGAAGACTTGCAAGTTGCAGACTGTAATACCATAAAAACAGACTAAAGTTAATCATTGATTTTACATAGGATTTTTTGAATTATAGCATCTGGAAGTTTCTGGACGTTTTTTCTGTCATTTTAGCAACACTGCCGCCTCTCACACCCACCATGTTGTTAGTTGTTTGTTGGTGATCGAGACAGAGAGCATAATTGTGCGCGCGCAGTGATAGATAAAATATTATACTTATATATATATATGGCTACTACGTAGGCATAAAAAGATTGTTAGATGACTGATCAGTAAGCCCCCGAGCTTCTTGTGACTCTTCGTATAGTTGATGGTAATTTGAGGTTCGGTTATATCGGCTATATTAGCCTGAAACGCATCTTGGACTCGTATTACTTCATCTGTCATTCGTATGCTACTTCATCAACATCAAAAACTCAGCTTATTTAATCTGTCAGTATCAAATACTGTTTTGTCTTGTTAATATCTCAAATTGCGTATATTGATTATATAGTGCGAATTTATAAAAGTGTTGTGTGCAACCATTGGTATAAAGTTTTATTGTGAGTGGTCGTGATGTGTCATAAACAGAACAAAATCGAAGCGCATCGCGCATGGATGCATCTGCATTTTGCCAGTCCCAAATTTGCGTCAAAATTCCAAAAATTGTTTTTTTTTCGTTTCAGGCAACGTGTTTTTAGGTTTTTTGGGACGTTCAGAACAAAAAAGGTGCTTTAGAAGTTTTCTTTAAAGTTGATAATGATCGAGTTATAACCGGCGCTACATTGAAAGGTGGTGTCATTGCCATTTTCGAACCCAAAAAACAATATGAAAAAGTGAAAAAATTGTGTTGCTGATTTTCCTAAATACTCTTTGAACGTTGATTTTTAAAATCAAAAACCATTTCAGGAGGTATTGTTGTTATAAGTCTTTGCTTTTTTAATTATTGTTAACCAGTCGCGAATCGGTAAATACGAGCCTGAGAATTGAAAAACAGAAGATTTACAATAACAATACCTCCTGAAATGCTTTGAGATTTTGTTAACAAATGTTTGAAGAATATCGGGGAACATTGGTAACATTGAAATTTTCATTTTTCCATATTGTTTTTCTAGGTCGAAAACGGCGTAATTTAAACGTGGATCCTAAAATAAAAAAATCCTTACATATATACAATGTGTTGAAGCAATTTCAAATTAGAAAAACAATTATGTGACTGGAAACGATAAAGTATCGACTGGAAATTTTGACTAATATCTCCAAAAAATTTCGAGACTGCAGCTGTCCCAGCGGCGTAGGCATTTTGAAATCTTTACGCTTACAGAAAAAAATAATTATTTTCTACACCACTGACGTTTTTGAAACATTTATTGCATTTTTGAAATTTTACGTAAATCGCCTTTCGTAAGAATTTTTTTTTGAAGAACAATGTGAATATTTGAGGTGCAATCCATATGAAAAATTCCAACCCGGTCTGCTTTGAAAATACGCTGAAGTTAGTGAAATTTGACATTGAAAATTGTGCGTATTGTGTATTTGAACAATATTGATGTTTCATCAGTCGCCTAGAAATTTGTCACACCCTGTATAATGGTAAAGCGAAATTCTAGGACTTACGTATACGGGAGCTTTTTTAATATTTTTTGATTTCTACTCTAAAAATATTGGCACTCTTTTATAAATTCCTATATGCTCATTACAATGCTTAAAGGTTCATTCCAGCTTGGAAAAGAAACACGGTTTCTATTTCCTAAACAAGCTGCAAAGAATCAGGTTGTTATTCTCTGCATTATCCTAAGGATGTGTCTTATTTCAATGACACTCAAAAGAACCCTTTATTTCAAAGATACAAAAGACAACAACTTAAAGATACAACTTTTTTCAGGAATAATACTTTCTGAGAACGATCTTAGCCCATATCTCATCGTTTTATCCTACAAATCTTCAATCAAAACGACTATTGCAAAGTTGAACCTCTGTCCTTTATTTTCAACTATACAAAGAGCACAATTAGCCAGCGCTATTTTTGACGGTCATCGAAAGTTCCCCCCTCTCCCGTATGGACGTTACACAGTGACGCAGTGGAACAAGGACTATTTAAAGAAGTTTAAACAGAATTTTCCTCCTCACGCTTGAAACTGCTTTCCCGATGATTAAACGGGCTGGCGGTAGGTGGCGCTTCGCGCGTTTAGCTTTAAACGAATTGCATTTTTTCCCATTGAGTAACGTATTCCAACTAAGAACAGCCAACCTGATACTATGTTCGCGCGTCAGAAAAATTATTCGAGATCGAATAAGATGCCCTATGAGAATTTGTTATTGTCTCGTGGATGGCGCTGTTTTGTTTCTATAGCATTAGCAATTTTGTGTAATTATTCTTTTACAGTCTCAATAAGATTTGATTTTCAAGAAAAATGCATTTCTTTTCGAATTAACCGAGTATTTATATTTCAACATGAAGAGGAATAGTGACGAAATAGGACATCCGGTAAATGGACACTCTTTTCTTGAAATTCTGGATAACGTTTTCGCACACCTGTGGCTCTATTTCGTCGATAACGCGCCGTATGTGGTCTTCACATTCAGCTACGTGAATTTTGTCTCATTTCGTCTCATTTGGCGCATTATTGCGACCGAAAATTGTACGTAATTTGCGAACTGTTTCCGCGTCCATTTTTGTAGCGAGTTGTCACAATAGTTGAACGTTGCTCGTTTGAATACTGCTTAATGCCGTCTAATCGCGTGGTCTGGACATGACAGCTGTCATCAAGTAAACACCATACCATTTGTACGAAAATAGCGACAAATTCAAATCCGGCGCTCTTGTATAATAATAAAATCATATCGCTTTGCATTTTGAGTATTCCATAAAGTGATTTTTTTAATCTCGCATTAACACCTTTCCTTATCTAAACTGTATCCATCGAAGAAACAAAGTAAAATCAAACATATACACCCGTATTGCACGTGATCAAGAACTTAAACGTAGGAGACGCTACAGGGCCGTATCAAGCTATTGTGACTGATCTATCAAAAGATGTCGTACAAGATATGTGTTGCTGTAAATTCTATCAAAAGCATAGCAAATTATCAGGAATATACCACGCCTTTCTAATCATATTTCGACATTAGGAATCAGTGCAAAAAATTCTGTATTCACCATTTCAGCAAAATGTTACTAAAACGCACACGAAAAAAACTTGTGGACCATCTCAATTGAAATTGTTCATATTTTATTATTAACTTACATATATACCCAATAATATTTACAAATCAACCTTCTATTCACAATGCAGAGCAAATTTTTTTGAGCAAATAGAAACTACAGACGTAGTAGTAGTAGTACAAAAGTTTATTACAGACTCCATAAAGTTTGTTAGTTTGATTGCTATTAAAATTTACATGAGAAATAGGAAGAAGGTCAAAATGGCACTATTATGCTTTGGAACTCCTAAATTAACCCTAATTTTGTATAATTATAAATTTGGAATTTCCACATTAATAACTAGAAACTTACACTTTGATTGCAGTCTATAATGAACTTACCTGTCTTGCCAAAAAGCCCGTTAAACTGCCAGTCTTAATGGTATCAATCGATTTATATGCTGTGTTCCGAGGAGCTTGAATCATCAGAATTGTTGATGTCAATTATAAGGGGTTCAACTTGGGTGTCAATGATATTGTCCATATCCCACATTTTGGTTTCAACCTTCTCTTGGACATGGTCAAAACATGTTCTCCATTTTGCTGGCGTAATTCTATCGACAGCAACATCAAACAGTTTTTTAACGTCAGAAAACTTAAAAGCGCTGTTATTTGACGCCACGTATTGCTTGATGTCGGCCCAAATCAACTCGATAGGATTCAGTTCGCCATTTCGTCAACAATTTTTAAATCATATTTATACTTATGTCGCTTGACTATATTTATCAGCTCAGCTTTGACCATTGTTTGGTCGAAGACGATCTTCTTTGAGACAAGCCACTGTTGAATGTCTGCCTTTTTGGTGGCCATTGTTGGAATTTTTTCCAATTTTCTGGAGTGGTACGGGGCATTATCCATCACAATAATTGCGTTATCATCAAGTATCGGCAAAATTTTTTTGAACCAATTTTCAAATGAGTTACCATCCATTTCTTCATGATAGTCTCCAGTTTTTTTGGATTCAAATGCCCACAATGCTTCAGGAACAAATCCATCTACGCTACCTATGTGGCAAATGATCAGGCGTTTTCCCTTGCCTGAAAGTAATTAGTTATTTTACTTCTCAGCGAGCGCACTAAATGACGAAATTAAGCAACTTACTCTTTTTAGGTTAGTGTAGGATAGGGTCTTAGATTAGTTTTTGGGTGAAGGAAATACTCAGAAACTTGGATGAGATAGCAAAACTGAGTTCGGAGCTTCCAAATCATTGTTTCGATCAGAAAATGAATTATCTGCATCCAAAAAAGTTCATATACTTCGAAACTTACCTGCAGGATTTTTCAATCCCGTCGAAAGGCCATCTAAAAACGCCTGCCTTGAGGACCTCACAGATCTGTCTACCCAAACCTTTCCCTGCGTATGCCCCGCGTTCACCCATGTTTCGTCTAAATAATAAATTTTTCTTCCTTCAGCGCGGAATTGCCTAATTTTTCTAAGGTATTCTCTCCTCCAGATAACAATTTCCTCCTTTTCTATCAATAAACTATTCCTTCCTCTTTTCAAAAATCGAAAGTCTAGTTCTTTCAACAGCTTATGGAACGTAGATCTTTTAAAATTTGGCAGGTCCTCATCATCATTCATTTGCTTCAATATTTTATCTATTGTAGGTATTTCATTCCTGAAGAAAAAGTGATGTACTTTTCTTCTAATGGCACTTTTGTCAAAGTCATCTATTTTTTCGATGATTTGTTTTCTCGCTGGATATGTTTTTGGCTCATATAGTGAGTGATTTTGTCTATATTCCTTCAAGATTTTGTAAACACTTGATCGACCCACTCCAGAAATTTCAGCAACCTTACATACGATATTTTCTATAGCCAATCCACTATTCTCTTGCATCTGGTTCTTGTAGATATTTAGAATAATTTGTTTTTCACCTGCGCTAAGATGAAGCTTTTTAGCCCTTTTGCTGGGTGGCGTTAAGCTGATTTCAACCACTTCATCAGCTGTATCTGTGTCAGACATTTTAGACTAATATTAAATTTCCGCAAGAAAAATCAAGTCAAGACGTGCATAAAACGTTCGCGCTCATAAACGGGTATCCGTAACTGATTGCAATCCTGTGTGTGGTGACGAACCATCAACGTGACGCTGAGAGTTCCCTCTACTATGCAGCATTGCCAGGCTTAATGTCACAATGATCATGTTTTATTGGGAAAATTGTCAGAAATCGCCGAATGTTGAACAGAAACATTACAAGAAGTCTAACCTTGAAATGTGAGGCTACAAATCGGTATTCTTATAGGGGGAAAGGGTAGGGAGCTGTTATGGTTCCTATTAACCTTGGTGAAAGTTGGAAACGGTAATATCATATATGGCATACATTCGGTTGACGGTGTGTGCACGGAAAATAGATTGCGGATAGGATTTTAATAGATAAATCTGCACAAAAAAACACAAAAGGAGATTTTTGTATTTCCCTGAAGAATATCTCAAGGTTATTTCAGATGTACTCATCGAAACTTTATGGAAGGATTATCGAAACCTTATTTTCAATTGCGATAGGGCCACATACCTCGACATCGCATTAATGTGAAAAATAAGACAATAGAAAAAAAATCCCTCACTGATGCTATCTCTTAGGAAAAATTTAACTATAAAGATTGCACAAAAATTTTCTTCACCTTTTTGAGCTTGTTTTCGCATCTCCGTATATGCCGTTCATAATTTGCTGCAGATCAAATTGGAATATACCTTTGTGATGTCATTTATTGTTATATAATGTCCTTTACAACAGTTATTGCACGTATTGCACCAACAGATTGATTTGTGATCCATGCGAATGTGATCAACCACTCTGGCGAAAACTCGCCGAGCGTGGCAACCGTACGACTTTGTCTGGAGCCTCGTCGCTACAAGCCAATCAGGATGAGGCCGACAGAGCGCCATGGCTACCGATCACGAATCAACCACTGTTTACGATTACTTTGTAGCTTCGTTAGATACACAGTATAGTCACAAATGCGCTTTTCAAAACCAAAACTGCTGCATCTATATGCTCGTATATAGTTGGTTACAGCGCCATCTATAAGACAATAACACGGTAGATTCGTAACTGCTGCGGAGAGAAGAAATATCTGTTAAATTCTCTCTCTACGGTATCGTTATTTCATTTTTGAAATTTTTTCTGAAGCGCGAATATAGTATAAGTTTGGCTATCTTCAGGTAGGATATGTTAATCGCTCATTTTTTCAGACACTAGGTTTGGTGAAACGGATTTTGTACCACTAGGCTATTTGAGGGATTTTGTGGTGATTGATTCTTGAACTTTCTTGCAAATTGTCGGATACGCGACGAACACACAACACGCTTGGCACCAATGAAACGAACTGTAGTTTTGAAAAAAGTTTTTCTAGGTTTGGTTCTTGTAAAGCGCGATGTTTTAGGTTTTCGACTACATTAACGAAAGAAACAAAGTATGACACGTGACAAGAAAAATACTCCAAGAATCATTGAAAATTACTCGTCTCCCTGTTCAGGATTTCCTTATGCAACGACGCTTTTTGAACGTAAACATCCTGTTCGAAACCAAACTTGAGTCTTTGATCACAAGAACCCTCAAAATTTCAAGAATGTTGATCTTATTGTATCGACGAAAACAACTCAAACTAGCTTTGAAATCAGTATATTTGGATTACTTAAATAACTGGCCTACCTACCACTGGCACTATACTGTTCAATTGAAACATGTAAGTGCAAAACCAATAGTCATACTCTTTCGTTTTATATACCAATTCTATATATGTATAGTGAGAGGTGTTCAGCAGGTTATTTTTTGAAGTGTTCTTGCTTATAGTACGATTTTGTTAGCCAACCTGTTACGTTTTCGATTCCCGCTTTATCAAAAAGCTATACAGTATTTTGGAAGTGCATCTACTGGACGAAGTCGTAATCTACAAAAAAAAAGTTTCCATATTGCCTAACTCAGAAATAGAAGTGATCATTCTAGATCTAGGCCTTAATCAGTTTCACAGCAAAGTATTCTGTCCAGAAGTGTATTTTTCCACGCTGTATGTCCCCAATTATTGTTATTGGTCAGATAGTGTAATTTGTATACAGGGTATCCCAAAAATAACACGTCAGAGTGACAAGGGAGGTAAATTGGCTTCAGATCAGATAAAAGCAACATGAAGTTTTCTAGTTTTCGACTAATTGCTCATTTTTTGCCTTTTATCACTATAAAGAACTAACTTATGACTTTTTTTCTGTTCTACCATTAATAGTTGATTGAGACAAAGTATTCATTTCATTGAAAGCTAAAAAAGAACTAAATTATTACATTTGGTTTCAATGCGAAAACCTTTACTTAAAGTTTGACTAATTACTGTGAAAAAAATGTACCAGACTGAATCAAATGACCTTAAAATGCACTTTCAAAAATAGTATAACGTTTGTAGGATCTTTTTACTAAAAACTGAATAATTCCAAGATTTGAATACCTAATTTTTTACAGTAATTAGACAAACTTCAGTAAAGGTGTTCACATTGAAACAATGTAATTTTTCAGCTTTTAATGAAATTAATAGTATATATACCAACTAAATGATAACCCAGGAAAAAAGTTAGAAGTTCTCTATAGCCATAACAGGCAAAAAGTAGTGAAAAACTTGAAAGTGGCAATATCTCGAAAACTTTTATTAACATCATGTTGATTTTGATTGATCTGAAGCCAATCTACCTCCCATGTCATTCACACACCCTGTATAATACATACAATTAATTTCAGTACTGTAACTACATTTTGTAAATGATATATTGAGATAAAGTGTCAATGTAAAATATACATATATACATTTAAATGAGGCACATTTATTTCAAATTTCGGTAGTACCATATTTTTTTAAATGCCAGGTTATGCTCAAACTTTGGTTACCTTAGGTGCTACGTATCCTTGGAATGGCATTTTTTTGTATCGTGTTCTGCAAAATTATAAAATATCTTTTTATGATTAATTATCGCTTAGTCAACAATTATATTGAAATTAATTGAAAAACGTTCAAGCGAAAGTTTAAAACTGTATAATACGCTTAGAATATTGGCATGTCACCATGTAGAATTCAAAAAATTAGTGGATTTTTAATGAAACAGGCTTGGTTAACACATTTCTCGGTGACTAAACATTTACGAGACATTCACACTTGGGTTTTGCATCGCTTTTTGCAATGTTACGATATTCGGTGTCGACCCACCATGCGATGCTACGTACGACTCTCTGGTCCTAATACTGTAAAAATCGAAACGCCTCGCATGGTGTGGTTTACGCTTCGTCAGCAATCTCTGTATTCAAAAATGGATTTCACACTGAAACTACTTAGGTTCTAAGTTAGATATTGATAGTCTATGATGTATATATTGAAACGCTTGAAATAATCGTGTTTTTGAGTAAGAGATGGTTGAGTGTGGGATGTCTCAACAGATGAAATTTGCTAGACTGGAGGCACTTCACAAAACTGAAGCTGGATTTTAGAACAGTACTATGAACAGTATTCAAGCATATAAACGGTCTCCTTATGCCGTTGTGTGACAGGAACATTTTGATGGATCCACGCAGAAATTTTGACCAAAGTATGCTCAGTTTTGTGGCTTTTTACACATGATTTGATTCACGAAGTTTATCAAACTCCTGTTACACGAAGCATGTGGTAGACACTTCAAGCTTGACGATTTTTATAGACCAGGCAAATAAGTCTTTCGGATTTAATATATCGGTTCAAACTATTTTGTATTGAATAACAAAAATGCATCACACGAAGATTAAACCACGCATAAAAACTATTGTTATATTACGTAATTTCAAAAAAAAAATGTATTCTAAGTGCCGAGATTCCAATGAAATTACGTACAAGCTTTTTTTGATATTCTGAACAAAAACGTTTTCAGTAAAATTTCTCAAAACTTCACCGTTTTCGAGTTTGGAACGAACCCTAAAAATGCTGAACAACTCGATTCAAATGATTATATTTGAGATTGCCAAATGTCTAAATTAAAGTCAAAATCTCCCCTCACGTCCATTTTTTAGTTTTTTTTTCAACTATCTATTTGCAGCAGTATTCTGTTCTGTATCCTTTTCATCTGACAATTTCATGGTAACTAACAAACAATGTTTTCTTATTTTTTTTTTGTTAAAAAATGCATTTTTTGTGCATTTCTTCAATCGGAACCTTAACTAACATAAGTACAGCTCTGAAATTGTGTGCGAATATTCCTCTTTTATAGAAGAATGAAACGAGTGATTACTTTTGTTCTTATCACTTTTCGTTTTAGAAAAATCTTTGTTTTATCTCATAACAAGTTGAGTTTTCAAGAAAAACAAAGATTTTTCGAAGTGAAAAAGTGATAATAAAAGCAATCACTTGTTTCATTCATCCATCACACACAAAAAAATCCACAAAAAAAGGATTTAGTTGCAAACAGGTCGTTGAAAAAAAGGGATGTGAGGCTTTACGCACTGTCTGTGTTCCTATGCGCGCTTAGGAAGCGCTTTATTAAATAATTCCTTAACATAAATTGAGCTTGAAATATCCCTCGGGGTGTTCATAATGACCCCAAAAAAATTTTTCCAGAGCGAATTTTTAAGCATGGAGTCTTGAAGATATTTGTCTGGTCTACTACAGAATTTTAACAATATGCATTCAAGTTGTTGATTTTCATTTTGTATAAAAGTATAAGGTATAGGCCAGCCTGTTTTGTATTTTGCCATTTAACTATTTCATGTAAATATTTCGTGCTGCAATACGAGTTGAGGATTTCCTTTAAAAAATTAGGAGGATACCGATTATTAAGAAAGATGTGTAAAAATGATGATGAACATTGTATCCAATATGTATTCATAGTGTTTAAAAATGCCAATATAATATTATATTGCCGCGAATGATTTTTTGAGTTTTTTAGGGAGTGATATATAAACAGTCTTTTTTTTGTTTTGCATGTTATCATAATGTTAAGTTAAATTTATTTTTAGGTACTAGTTACAAGCTACTGTGATTTATATAAAGTATGTGTTGATCGAGCGCCTGCGTTTTTTTGCACTTTTTAGGGATTTTTCGGTGATGCTTGATTGGAGAATAGATCGCTTAATTTTTTGAGAAAATCCTCGACTGGAGCCAAACATGTCCATATGGTTAAAACTCGCAATTAAAAAAAAATTACATGTTACTTATTTATACTGTGTATGTGTAAAAAACAGTGGTAAATGCAAATACCACGGACTTGTGATAAGAGTAGTTAAAAGAAGTCATGTTCTAGAATTGCAAAAAAATGTATCGTTATATTATTGTTTATTGTACTGTATCTATACTTTTATTTTATACAAAAGTTCATTTTTTTTCTTTGGTATATTCTACCGTTGTACATACAATGTGTATATGACTACACAGTAAAGTTTTCAAAATTAAGTTAATTTATTTTTTCTCCAGTTTTATTATTAAAAAATATAAGCTCTACTAATTTAAAACCTACGCTTTTCATTTGAGGAAAACCATCCATAAACAAAAAGATAGGATTTATTGTTGCTATGTTGCTACTTTGATGTAGGAAAGTTCGAAAAATCGGATTCTACTCTATTATTGATTTCAAAAATATGAAACGTAGCTAAAAAAGCGTGACATTTCCTTTGTAATATTGAACCACTAATAATAAAATTGCGTGCCTACACTGGATCCCTAGTAAAAATTATCAACCATCAACTAAGGATTTCGTTCTTTAAAAAAGATGCATAATATATTTGAAACGGATACGAGGATGCAAAGTTCTCGCTTTCCGCAGTCAGTAAATTTTTCTAATTTCTGCATGTCATTGACCTTCAGTACAATTCACATTTTTATAAAAAAATGTACTGAAATAGGTCGCCGTGGGAACTGAAACGTATACACAATACAAGAAGAGTAGATGTCTTAT